CTTCTATTTTTGAAGAGTTATTCCTCGTGGCAGGCTGCCAGGCAGTGCCAGCAGCCTCAGTATCCTTTCTGTCAGGATTGGCAGGGCACACTGGTCCATTGCCTTTCATTAGCCTTTGTGAGGATTTGCAGCTGCAGCTCTTTGCAATGCTTCCCCACACCTTGGGGGAAATGCACCTTCTTTGGGATTCCCAGCTGGACCTGTGCAAGGCAGAAATCTCCTCTGATGTAGGAAAAAGCCACTTTTCTGCTGCTGGGTTGAGGCAAGGCACAGGCAGCCGATGGGCTGAGCAGAGTTTGAGGGTGAGGAGCATAGAGGGACACAGAATAAGGAATCCCAGTTTGCCTGCAGATGAGCTTGAGAAACTGCAACCCTAAAGGCAGTCCCAAACTCACCCTCCTGGGATTTCTGTGTCCAGAAGTGGGCAATGGTAAGGAGATGTCACCTGAGTGTCACAGTGGTGCTGTTCCCTTTTTGTGATGCTGTGATACAAAAAACAAAAGGTGGCAGAATTGAAATGGAGGTTGAAAACTCGACTCAGCTTGTGTGGCTTGTAGGACAGGGCTTGTCCCTTGCTGTCCCTTTGGTCCCTGGAGAGCCCTGGGTTCTCCCCAGGGAAAGCAGAGATAGTGACAAACCCTCACAAACCCTTAGTGAACATAAAAGACAATTTTCCCCCTGACTTCAGACCAGGAAGCTGCCTAATGCTGAGGATGTCGTGTGGTGGATTTTTTCCTCAGGCATTAGAGCAGAATGGAGTGAGGAGGTGGCTGTGGGACTTGGCAGCCATGCACATGGGAGGAAGCAGTGAAGCAGATGCAGTAATCAGAGTAATCAAAGCAGCCCTCACATGTGCTCATTTCTCTTGCTGTGGGACCATCCTGGGCAGGGTGGGCGTATCTTTGCAGACAGGCTCTCATCACAGCAAGGATTTAAGATGAGTTTCTTGCCTTCACCTCACAAATACCAGATTTGCAGGGTTTTGGCTGTTTAGTTGACATCCTGCAGCCCCTTTTCCTAAGTGCTCTTTGTGCCCATGGGTGGCTGAATGGCCATTTCTCTGCTGGGGTGAGGCAACAAGCCACACACAGGCCCTGGGCAGCACCAACAAACCAACCGTGGGAGTCACACCCTTTGCAAAGGCTTCCAGAGAAAAGTCCTCCCTCTGAGCTGTGCTGGTGGGGACCCAAGGAGTGCTGCTGGAGTGGAGCCAAACCTCCTGGGCTGGGCTGTACTCTGCACTCATGTACTACTGCCCTGTGCATTTGGGGTTACTCCAAGTTTGCACCAAATCAGCAGGGTTTATTGCAGTCATGGTGGATTTACTGAGCTCTGCCTGGAGGCTGAGCTGGTATTTTCCCTTTCAGTTTGGGCTCTCAGGTGCACAAATGCAGCTCTGGCTGCCTGGCTGAGTCTGTCCCTGCTGATAGAGGCAGAATGGGGTGAACAGACACGGCCTCCCTGGATGGCCAGGCTCAGTTCAGCCAGCACTGCTCTGGATTCACACAGCATCCTCCAAGTGAGCCCTCCTGGGGCGTGCAGTGACATTTAACTGAGTGCTCCCACCCTCATCACCCTCTGGAGCTCCGCTGTGTCCTGGCTGCCCCCAGCACCCCGGGGCTTCAGCTGACTCAACGGGGCAGGGAAAAGGCTCTAGGAAAAGAAAATCACTGCAAATCAGGCCTTGGGAACAGCATCTGCTTTATGGCAGGGACCGATTTAATCTCCTTAGCAATCGCCTCAATTGTAGAATCAGCAGGATGCTAATTAATTGAGAGGTGCTCAGCGACAGCCACTGAGATCCCTCCTGGCTTTAAGTGGAAGCCTTTTGGGTTTGGCACTTGTGCTGGCTGCTCTCCTAGCAAGAGGGTGTGCCTGGGGGCCAAATCCCTGTGTGGGGTGTCTGACACCAGTCACCCCAGGCTGCCTGTCCCTCCGTGCTGGCTGTGCCCGGGGCTGGGATGCCCACACACCCCCGAGATGATGCCATGGCTGTGGGAAGCACTGCCCTGGCCTCCCACTCCTGGCTCTTGGCCCAGGGAGCAGCAGAGAGGGGCGGCTGCAGTCCATGAAACACCTCACCCTGCCTCCCTCTGGCCCTTCCAGCCTGGAGCCAGCCCCTCACCTCCACCCTGAATGCCCACAAGCCGATTAAGCCCAGCATGTTAATTGGCTGTGACAGCTCATTTTGTTATCTTGCACTCTGTTATTGATGGGGTGCTTGTGACTGGCTTGGCAGGGAAGGTCAGTGCCAGGATGGGCCAGAGCCCCTGTTTGGTGCACCCCAGCACATGGAGGGGCTCCAGGAGCCCTTCCAGGATCAGCTGCAGCCCCACCTCAGGGGGCATTTAACCCTGGGGTATTGCACACCCTGACTCAGGAGCTCATGGAGACCCCAAGAGAAGTGGGTTTGGGTGGGTATCTGGCACCCATTGGTGCAAACCACTCTTTCCAGGGCTGGGTGATACAAAGATTGGATTTAAAGCCCCTGAAGTCAGAAGATGCACAGGCCAGGGCAACACCTGGTATCCAGCTCTCCCCAAACCAGTTTGGGAACTTCATCTTGGTTTTGTCTTAGGCTTCTACAAGACACAGGGCTAAAAAGAGAAGGAGAGGATGAGTGTGCAGGGAGCTGGAGAGCTGAGGAAGAGAGGTTTGTGGTTGTTAAGTGAGCCAGGAACTATGGGAGGAGGAGAAGGCCTGCCTCAGGAGGGCAGAGAGGTTGGTGTTTCAGAGTCAACGTGCTGTCCTGGGACAGCAGTGACACACCTTTGGCCAGCCCTCTGCCCCTGTCCCAGCATCTGCAGAGTCCATGGCCCAAATGCAGCATAACACGGGATGCATTAGTGAGAAGTGGGATGAAATCGTTAGGATTGATGGACCAGAGCTAGAGCTATTGATCAGCTGAGGGCCAAGGAGAAGGTCAGGGGCAGAGCTGGTGGGGTGCAAGGCAAGGGGAGCTGGGTGTTGGGCTGCTCCTGTGAGGGCTTTCTTGGCCATCAAGGAGGAGGGACTGCAGCTGGTGGGGACTGGGGAACTGTGGAAACTCTGAGAACAGAAGTTCAGTGTTCCAAATCCATCACCCTCCCCCTAAAGCATCACAGCAGCTTGCAGCTAAGAGAGGTCAGCCCTTGGAAATGGCATTATTCCATCCTCTGAGGGAAGGTAAGAGTGGGCAACTCTGCTGTGTTGTGACAGGTGCTGTGCAGTTGAAAATGCTGATTAATGCTGCCTTTGAGAATGTGCCAGTCTCTGGCCTCCGAGGAGAGAGCCCCTGCTGTCTGTGCTCTGTCTCACGCCTATCAACCTGCTAAACACACACATGCCTCACTCTGAGCACTGCCTGGGCTCTGCTGACAGGGGTTTATTTAAAGCCTGGCTTGGCTCCGAACAGAGGCCGTGGCAGAAGCAGCACAGTGGGCCTGGGCAGGGCTGCTGCTGGGGCTCCTGTGCCTGGGGGAGGCAGGAGGGGATGGAAGGGCCTGTTCCAGAGATGGGCACAGAATTCTGCCTCTGCAAGAGGTGTCTCTTGGTAGTGGGTGGCTCTCCAGGCCCACAAAGTGAATGCCTAAAGTGAGGTCAGAGTTGAGCAGCTTCATTCAAGGGGAAGGAGCTGAAGGCAGCACACACCCTGCAGGCACAGTGCTCCAGGGCCAGGTACCTTCCTCTGGAAGTCAACTTTACTCTGATGTGCTCAGCCAACCAGTGCAGCTGATGGACCAGACCTTCAATTCCAGCAGAGGTGCCTGTGCAGAGGCAGCTTTGGAAATGGCTGAGGGAAAAGTCCCCAGGGCTGCCTTGTTCCTGGCCCCAGTGCAGCTGAGCCATGGGAATTTTTCTTGGCTGGTTGCTGGTCTTTTTTTTTTTTTTTTCTTCTTCTTTTTTTTCCTGGCTTTTGGACAAAATCATCCCATTGCCCTGAGGCAGAGGGGCTGTGAGCACTGTGAGGAACAGGGCTCAGAAAAGCAGCCATCCTGCAGGACTGGTGGGCAGCTTGAGCAGCAAAACAGTGAGGGGTCTGAATGAGCAGAGAAACTTGAATGGGGCCCAGCCCTGTTAGAGGGACAGAGGAGAACATCTCGTTAGGGAAGAGCTCAGAGCCAGGATGGAAAATTACTGGCAGCCCTGTGTTTGGAGGGCAGGAGGCAGCCGGGGGGGACGGGCAGCTGGCCAGCCCCAGCACATGCTTTGTGGGGCACACAGGGCACAGCCCAGCTCTGCCCTGGGCCAGGTCACAGCCTCTGCTCCGTCCTGGGCTTGGGGGCTGTGTGGCAGGGAGAGGATGCTGAGCTCCCTGCAGGATTTTACCTTCCCAGGCAGCTTCAGTGGAATGTGTGGTGTCAGGATGTGGAGCAGCAGGGCTGGCTCCTGCCTGTCCCTGTCCCTGTCCCTGCCCATAGCCCACAGTGCAGCCCTGCCCTGTGAAGCCCAGCAGTTCTGGGGACACCAACCCATCTGGCACCAATCTGGGACCTCTGGGCAAGGTTTGAGGTGTTTCTTTTGGGGTCCCCAAGATCGAATTGCCCTGCTGTCATTCTGGTTCTGATTGTTTTGGAGCCAGCAAGGTGTGTGCCTTTTGCTGCCCTGGGGATGTGAGGCTGGGACAGATTGTGCCTGCCCTGGGGGTGGGATGTCCAGCCAAGGTGGGTTGCAGGATGGGGCCCATCACCATCCTGCCCAAGACATCCCTCACTATGGTCAAGGATCCAGCATGTCATCCCATGCCCATGAAGCAGCTTTTCCTGGAGGACACCTCTCCCTCAGCACCAGCACATCCCCACAGCCACCAAAGTCACACTCCCACTGCTTTGTGTGCACTGCTGGATTCTGGGAAATGGATCCTGAGCACTTTTGAAAATAGGTCTTTGGGATATGTCTCACCAACTGCTTATTCTCGTTTCTCCCTCTTTTGAATAGCTTGACTGAAAGAACCCATCCCAGGCTGAAACAACCCAAGGTCCAGGGCTGAGCAAAGCAGAACCAGCAGCCACTGGCTCCCAACAACGTTTTTATTTAAGGGCAAGAATAAACACATCACACTCACGCACAAATGAGGCTAAATTTAGCTGTGACTCCTCTGCACATCGTCACTGGCCTGCCTGTGCCTGGGGTGGTACCCGATGCCCATGGAGCCCTTCAATACAGCACATTGATCCTGCTGGTCCTGCACAGCCAGCCTGGGCAGCCAGCACGTCTGCCCCAGGCTGCTTCTCCTCCTGGCCCAGACCAGCCCTGTGTGCAGCACAGCCTCAGCCTGGAGCTGGGGATGGGTGTCAAACCCTGCCCTGTGCCTCGGGGCTTGGATTCAGGCCTCTGCTTCCCAGCTGGTCACCTCTAGGTTCCTCTCTGCTGATGGCAGCTCTGTGCTCTGTCCACCACCAGCTGCACACCTCAGGAGGGGTCCTGGTGGCACTGCCAGCACTGGGTGACACCGTGGGAAGGGTGGCCAAGGGGTGCAGAGCTGCCTGCAGCAGGGTTGGGGTCCCAGCTCACCTCTGCCAGGTCGAGATGGCACCATCACAACAGGAACTTTGGGGAGGAGCAGGGTCATGCTGGAGCATTTGTGTTGGAGTTTTATGGTCCCTGCCTTTTTCATGGAGTCTTTTCAGAGACAGGTAAAATGAAAAGTCCCAGGGCCTCTAATCCTGCCACTTCCCTCTTGCCACTTCCATGGGTTCAGCAGTTCTGGCCCCCTCTGCCCCTTGAAGGTATGACTGCTGCGGAAAAGATAAATCCCAAGCATGAAAAAGAATTTATTCCCATAGAAACCCCTGGCAACTGAAGGAGAAGGATGAGGTTTAAATGTATGCAATGCCAGGAAGATCAGAGCCAACACTCTCATCCCTGACCAGTTCACAGAAAACCCCTTGGCTGCTGGACCCACAGAAGAGGGGGGAAAAGCAGCACTGAAAGTAGGGAAGATCTGATCCCATTGAAGGGCTGGGTGAGGGGCTGGCTCCTGCTTGAGGGATTTAAGAGTCCCTGAGCTCCCTGACATCATGGGCTTTTCCTCTCTTTGAGGTGAAAAGGCGAATGAATGCAGCCTGGATGCAGAACTCGTGGTGACTCAGCGGGAGAGGTTGAAATCAGCTGAAATCTGGTTGCCATCCAAAAAGCCTGGGACAAGCTGTTAAAATTGATGTACCAGGGATGAATGTCAGTACGAGCAGACATTTCTCCAGCCCCTCAGCAGCTGTTTGTAGGAGCACTGCCTGTGGCTGCTCTCAAGGCACCCCATGACCCAGCAGGCAAAGGTGCCCTGAAGCAGAGGGGTCTGTTGGCCACTGTGGCTGGCTGAGGGGCAATGAGAATGAGCTCTGAGATACCTGATTCAGGTGCTGAGGAACCAAGCCCACTGAGAGGAGGTGATGGGGTCCTCAGGAGCTCCCCATGTTTTGGTAAGAGCCAGTTTTGGATGGTAGGTCCTGTGCAGTTGCCTCAGGCAGCATGGCAGTGGAAGCTGTTACATCCCTAGCTGGGGGAAAAAAATCAGTTAAAGTGATATCAAAGTACAGAGGAAGGAACAGTGGCAGGATGGGCTTGTTTAGTGTGGACACAAGCAGGAGTCAACCCTTACTCTGGGGCAAGCCAAGGCCCTCTGTTCTCAGTGTCCCAATTGTCCCAATTCAGGGGAATTCAAGTGATTTACAACCTCCTGCTCTGCCCCAAGCAGCTGCCACCCCACACCTCCAGCATGAGTGTGCATGGGGTCATCATGACCCCAGTCACAGCCTCCACTTCTGGGTGATCCTTCTTCACTGTCATGACCCCAATTCCCTCACAGCCCCAGACCATTATGGCCCTGCTGTGGGGACCTTCATTGCACAGGTCCCTCTTATCCTGGAACTACCTGGCAACCTTGATCAGGCCCATCCTCTGCCCAGGGGAACCTGCATTCCCATGCCCCAGAGGACCCTCAGGTCCCTTGTCATCCGTGGTTTTGTTCCTGGAAACTCCCAAGCCCTTTGTCCTTCATGGCCCCACTCTCTAAGACTCCTTACATCCCATGGCCACCAAAGGCTGTGTTCCAGGTACCATTGTAGTGCACAGGTCCCCTCTTGTCCCAGATCCTCCCCAGCACCTTGATTATCACTTTGCCCTGCTCTCAGGGGGACGCAGACCCCTTGTGCCATACCTGGGGCTCCCGAGGGCTCCCGCTGCCCCCTGCTTCTGGGACTCCACGACCACAGGGACCTGTTGGACCTATTGGCCATCACAGTCCCACGCTGGGACCGAAATGGTTCCCCGGAGGGTGATGTGTGTCCTCGGCAGCCTGCATCCCCCGTGCAGCCCCCGCACCCCCAGCGCTCCGCGAACCCCCGCAGTCTCCATCTCCCGTTCGCTCCCGCCTCCCTCCCTCAGCCCCGTTATTCTCCCGGTGCCCCCGTTCCCGATCCCGGCCCCGTCCCTCCCCTCCGGCCCCGGCGAGGGGAGGAGGATCCGGCCGGCGGGGCCGTGCCCAGCCCAGCCCCTGCGCCGCCCCGCGCACCTCGCACCGGCTCCGGCACCGACACCGACACCGGCACCGACACCGGCACCGGCTCCGCTCGCCCCCCGCGCCGGGGCCGCCGCCGCCGCTCGCAGCCCGCCCCGCCCGCCCCGGCATGAAGGTGCTCCGGCATAAGATCGAGCTCCTGACAGGTACGGCCCGGCCGCGGCGCCGGAGCGCGGCTGTGGAACCCGGAGGGGCGGCGGGACCGGGGGCGGCGAGAGCCGTCAGCCCCTGAGCCCCCCGAGGAGATGGAGCTGCCCCACAGGCGCACCCTGCCTTTGCTCCCGGGGTGCGGGGGCCGGGCTCGGGTCCTGCCCGGGCTCCGGGAGGCGATGCCTTGCTGCAGCGGGGAAAGCCCAGCCGGGGGTGCTGGGGAACGCGAACGGAGTCGGCAGCTCCAGGCAAAGGGGGCGGCAGCAGACAGCCGGGGGTGGGGGGGCTGGGGCATTGCTGGAGCATCCCTGCGGTGCCTCCCGGCTCCTCAGCCAGCCTCCCCTGGGAGCCTCCCCGCTGCCCCGACAATGCGCTGGAGGCTGCTCTTAGCAACAGCCACTGCGAGACAGCCTGAGCCCCCCAGAGCCCCCGGCTGCCTCCGCCACCCCCGGACTCTGCGCTGCTCAGCCCCTCAGCAGTGTCACCGTGTGCCCCGGACTCTGCGCTGCTCAGCCCTCATCGGTGTCACCGTGTGCCCCGGACCCTGCGCTGCTCAGCCCCTCATCAGTGTCACCGTGTGCCCCGGACTCTGCCCTGCTCAGCCCTCATCGGTGGCACCGTGTGCCCTGGCCTGGCCTGGCGGCTCCCGTGGTGTGGCTGCCCGGCCCTGCACCCTCAGCTGGACCGCACTTGAGGGGTTTGTGGGGGCTGCTGGGGTCCTGCGTCCCGCACGGGTTCAGAGACAGCCGTGGCTGTTCTTCCTGCACCGGTGGAGCAGGATGTGGCCAGGCTGTGTCACACTGGGGTTTTCCTTCACCCCATCGTGCTCCCCCATCCCTCCTGCTCGGGGGGCAATGCTGGGGGCACACCAGACTGAGCTGCAAGTTCCCTTCCTCCCTCTGCCAGCCTCACTGAAGACTGCCTTGGCTTCACTGCCTGGCAGGGGCCAGCCCTCACTTCTCCTGATTTGTCTGCCTGTTTGTTGCTGCTCAGTCAGCCCGAGGTGTCCGTGCCAACATCCTGTGGGCACCACATCCGTGCCAGGGCAGCTCGCAGGTACTCAGTGTGGGGACTCCTGTGACACTGAGGCAACATCTCAGGGATCCCTGCCCTGTGATCAAACATGCTCCCAAGTGTGAAATGGAGCTCACAGCCTTGTCGTGATCATGATATAATTATTATTATATCATGATATATAATGATATAATAATAATAATAATAATAATAATAATGCTACAAGCTGGTTCTCCTGCAGTTAGCCAGCAGTGCAGATCCCTGGGGAAGGGAAGCCAATGTGTCTGTTCCTGTCCCATCTATATGCACAGTGCCAGGGCCCTAGTGGGGCAGAGCACTAGTCCCAGACAGCGCACTTGTGTCCTGCTGGGTTTGGAACTGATTGGGAGTTAGGGAAGAGACGTGTCCTGGCTGTGCACCACACTGGGAAGGCAGAGTGGGAGCAGAGATGGTGTGTTTGGGGGGTACCCTGGGAATGGGTGCTGCCTGGGGAGCACTGGGGTGAGCTGCAAGGAAAGAGGCTCGTTGCTGGGCACGTTAGCCTGCCTGGCAGAAGATGGGAGCCAAGTTTGGAGTTTTGGCTGGGAGACTTGGAGCTGTGGCTTCACCAACCCTCCACAGCAACGGTGGCCCAGTGGGGCTGGGTGAGACTGCTCACAGCCCCACAGCTACGCTGCTGAGGAGGGACAGGGGTTCCTGTGGGAACCCTCATGGGATGCAGAGCACCCAGGGAAGGTGGCAGCATGGCTGTGACCCTGCTTACTGATCCCTGACTTACTGATCCCTGCTCTATTCCCAAACTCCCACTTTGGGAGACTGTCCACCCTGTGCAGGGGCAGGGCTCTGCCACGTCCCCCTGAGCCAGCTTTGCCCCCACCACGCAAACAAGGTCACGGGGCCTTTCCTCATGGCTCAGCCACCCTCCCTCCCTCCCATACTAGCTGCAGGCTGTAATTAATAAAGGCATTCACCATACACTAAGTGCTGTTCCCAGCCACCCCGGGGCCGTGGCCACACGGCGGGTTGGTGTGCTCAGCGTGGGACTCTCCTGCTCTCCTCCAGACCCAGCTATTGGTGAGGCTGATTTTTCTCCTGTTTTTCCTTCTGGGGTTGTGGGGCTGCTCTGTTGGTGGCTCTGCAGGCTGTGTTGGCTTGGCTGTGCTGGTGGGCTGTGGGCCAGGGCTGTCCCTGTGCCACAGAGCCATCTCCCCAGCAGCACAGCCTAGCCTGGAGCAGTGTGCCCCTCTCTTGTGCCCCTCCTTGGGGCTGAGGGCACCTCGCAACATCCCCTGACCTGGTGGGACTCTCTGGGCAGGGGGTGGCACAGAGACTCCTGGTGCTCAGTGCCCTGGGAATCTCGAGAGGCTTTGCAGTGGTGTTTCTCCTTCCCAACAGTCCTGGATTGTTGGACGGCTCCCAAGGAGCAAGGCAAAGTGCCGTGTCTGCAGGGAGCAGGCAGGTGGCACAGCCTGCTTGAGTTTTGAGTGAAAAACCCAGTCGGAGGAGCAAAAACTTTGGAGGGCAGTTTATGGCCAGCTCCTGTATTCCTGGTGGCTTTGCAGTATTTGTGGCATTTCTTGGCTGTCCCACATTGTCAGCCTGGGTTCACCTGTGTTTGGAGGTGGAGAAAGTGTGGAGCAGGCTCGGCTGAGGCTGTGTGGATGGAGTGGGTCTGTGTCTGCTGCTGTACAGCCCAGAGCATCCCCATTATGTCCAGGGAGATTGCACAGGGGGGAGACAGCTGGGAGGGTGTGGGATCAGTGCTGGCTCATTTGGAGAAGCAACAGCTTTTCTGGAGGCTTGGTCTTGTGGAAAGGGTGAAAACAGAGGCTGCAAAGGCAATGCCTGAGGTCTGAGTGCAGATAATCCCCCGGCACTAGGATTTGCCAGGTACCCATTCCATTCAAACACAGGGGAGCCTGGACTGCTCCCTGTGTCTTTCACCTTCTGTGTGCAGGCAGCTGCTGATCTCCTTGCTCTCTTATGCTCTCTGAGCTGAGCTTGTGCCTGGGGGTGTTTTTGGAGATGGAAGTGTTGGTTGAGGTCAGCAGCACCCAGTCTCACACTGCTGCTGAGCTGTGGCTCCATGGAGAGGTCTGTCCCCACAAGTTGTGGGGCTGAGGTACCAACAGGCCAGCACCTGATTCACAGGCGAGGAGAAGACTTTGGGAGCAAAGGCTTCACATTTGGATTTCTTCCATCATTGCTGTACAAACTTCAGGCTCTCTCACTGTTCTCTTTCTGCTTGGAACATCCCTCTGCCTCCCAGCATGGCTGAGAAACATCACCCCTCATTCTGCCTGTGCAGGGAGATCTCCCTCTGTCCCATCCATACCTATCTGCAGCCTAAAACTGGCCAAAAATTTGGATTTTCTATCTTTGACTGATGATGAAAGCTGGAATGGCAATTTGGATGTTCTTGCTCTGGGTTGAGTGCTTATGAGGTGACCAGCATGGACAGATGAGGCTGACCCCTCAGTATGCCCAAGATCATGCCCTGGAGATGGGTTTGTCCTTAAATGGGAGAACTGGAGCTGGGCAGGAGCTGGGAGCTGAGCCCATCTAGGCACTGTCTGCTCTGTGCAGAGGGGCTCACTGCAGCCCCTGCACAAGCTGAAGCACCAAGTGCCCACAGCAGATGGGTGCAGTGGAGCTGATTTGGGTCCCATCCCTATGGAAGGGAGCCCTGTGAATCTCTGGGGGCTGGGGCAAAGAGGCCCAAGGAAAGGACGTGCCCTGACCTGTGCCTTGCCCTGCAGGGCTGCTGCTGCAGGAGATGACCATGGCAGGGCTGCACGAGCTGCGCTTCACCGAGGAGAAGCCGCTGCTGCGGGGACAGGACGCCGAGCTGGTGAGTGTGGGGACCACGCTGGCTCTGGCTCCTGCATGTGGGGACAGGGAGCTTGGGAGGGCTGGAGGGGTGGTGTGCTGGTGCTGGGGTGGCACTCTGTGTGTGTGTGCTGGTTTTGGGTGCACATTGGTGCTTTCAGTGCGTGCTCATGGTGATGAGCCCGTGTGGGTGAGCACAGGTGAGGTCTGCAGGGATGATGGATGTGTGTGCACAGGCTGCACATCATGCTACATCACACTCAGGTAACACATGCACGTGTGTGCAGCTGTTGTGGAGGGGTGTGTGTGTGTGTGTGTGTGTGTGTGTGTGTGTGCACATGTGGGCACTGTGCCCCCTGCAGCCCCAGGAGTGGTGCCTGTGGTGCCAGGGGCTTTGTGAGCTGGGTGGGAGGGCACTGCAGAGGTGAGGGGTGTCTCTGTCCCTAACGGCTCCTTCTCATCCCAGGAGAACTCGGATGTCTTCCTCTCCACTGTGGACACAGACTGGAAGGTAGGAGCAGCCATGGGAGGTGCTGCCCACCCCCGGGTTTCCCATGGAACAGCAGCCTGTGCCCGGGAAAGGCTGGGGGGCACCGAGTGGACTCAGGGGTGTTGTTGTCCCTTTTCATGGGAGGCAGTGCCTGGTCAGTGTCTGTGCATGAGGTTGCTCATCCATCATGGTCCTTGTCAGAGGGGAGCAGGGGGATGCTGCCAGGCATCTCTGTGCTGGCGCTCAGATGTGGCTGGTGGGCGCTCGGCCATGGGCTGGGGACAAAACCTTTAAAACAGGCAATTTCTTCTCAGGAAGGCCGAGCTGCTTTTCCAGCC